ATGTAAATATTATTGATAATTTAAATATTTCTGTTGCTGGTAAATGCCCAAAACACAAAATTTTATATAGATCTGGTCACTTCATTCCCATTTTCATCGAAATGGTATTAAAAATAAAAACTAAAGGATAATAAAAGTAAAGAGTAATCTGACTTCTAAAATCCTGTTTTGAGCAACTGATTCAGTTGCTATGCTCAAAATGCTCAACATACCAGTGATTTTTCTCAATGTACAGTTACTGGGTTTCAAAGTAGTTATAATTCTGCCTTATCTCTGATTTTTAAACTTCTTTGTTCTTTAACAGGTATTTTCAACATGCTAACTCATTTCAGGTAAATGTGTCAAATACAAAATTTGGGTTATTCTAGAAAAAAGATTGATGGGATGGAATAAAAACTTCTCTTAAGACTTCCGCCCATGATATACAGATAGCAACGCAATTCACTATGAAGATTTAGAACTGAGAATTTTGATGCTAGTTTATGATCTTTGGAGAAAAACCTTTATATTTCAGGCACGAAGGGAACATGCAACTTTGATTTGAACTAGGAAAAACTAAGTGTCAAAATAGTGATGATACTTTTCTGGCACATATTCCAAAAAAATTATGGCTAAATAATGTAAAAAAAAATTATGACTCAGTATATTATGGAGATATAGAATCCCATTCTAAATGTGATGTCATTTTAGGACAAATATGTGAGAAGGAGAGCCACAATTCTCAAACTGGATGTTGGAGAATTTTTCTGTGGTTCCTCAATTCTATGAAAAGTTCCATAAATGTAAAAAAAGCCCATAATAATCTAAGAATGTAAATAGTGTAAAATCATAATGAGGAAACTGAATGAAAACTTTATAAATGAGTAAAGATAACCAATTTGAATGCCCAAGTTAGCATTGTTCATAGGAGCTGGTGGAAAAATTAGCTGGGCTAGATTAAGAATGGTATTTTGAAACATGCTAAGGAGCCATTTCAGGAGCTTCTGAGGAGAAATGTAATGGTAAGATTTACATTTTTAAAATATCATTTACATATCACTATAAAGGGTAAACTGGAAGCCAAAAGAAAAAGGAAAAAACTAATTAGGAGAAACTATTATAATAATACAGACAAGAAAGTGGCACCATAGAGACTATGAAATAGGATCAGAAAGATAGCTAATGGATAGAATCCATAAAACCAGGTGAACAGATTCATTATGCAATAGAGAGGGAGGGGGTTATTAAAGACAAAAGAGATTGACATAAAACGACTGTCAGGAGAAAATTGTTAATAAAATACTCTCTGTGAATTAAAAAATAAACACGCCTTTGTTTTTGAACTTATAAAAATAAATTGACTACTCACAATTTTCCAGTCTACACTAGTAAATTATGTTTTTAATTTTGTAACTATTGCAAGTCAACTATTTCATTTTTATATCATGAGCTATACAATAGGTTTGGAAATATTCCTACTCCTTTGCTACAGGATCTGTTTGAAAAATCTAGCTTTATGTCTTTTTATACATCTTAGTGAAGTTTAAAGTCATCCTTTCATTACTGTTTTGGTAATTTTTTAAAATGTCTTTCTTTTGAAAAGCTGAGGTTTTTAAATACAAAGAAAAGGTTTCTATTTTTTTCCATAGGCACATAAACAAACTGTCACAAAAATAAAATAATGGGAGGGAATTTCTGGTCATGTTGTTAAATTTCACATAGGTCTTGGACTATGTGACTGATTTCTTTGTAATAGATTTTACTTCCTCTTTCATTAAAAAGACATTTCGCCTGTCTCATCTCACTGCCTAAAACAATGTTTGGTACATGGTAGGTGCTAAAGAAATATTTGTTAAATATTGAATAAATTAATGAATTCATATCCCAAATACCAAGAGTGTAACTGTCAAGTCCCAGAGGAGGGTTGCTCACATTTCATGTAATAAGAACTATAAGATTCCCTCTACTTAATCTTCTTTCTTTTTCTGTACATTGTACCAACCCCATCTTAGGTTCTCTGCTACCTGTTCTCATATTTCTTCTCCCTACTCCTCACATCAAAGGCTTTCTAGGACTACTAATTTTTTCTCCACCTATGTTTTCAAACATTGAAACAAAAGAAAATCATTGCATTTAATTCCTGTGCATACAATCATCATACTGCAAACAGTCATGACTGATTACAAATCACTTCAAGTCAAAAAGTTATTATGAAGCACAGATTGTATGTCCAGGACAAGGCTAGCTACTAGAGGCAGTAGTATAGTAATATAAATGGAATATAAATGTCACAGTAATTTGATAACCACTATCATCCATCCATTTGAAAAGCACATAAACAAGCTCTCCTTTTAGTTAGGAATTTGGTATCACTCCTTTTCTCCTTGAATTCATATTTTTATCTCACTTCCCCACATAGGTTTATTCCCAACATATTTTATTGAAAGTATTTTTAATTGATCATCTTACCATGTTTCCCTGCAACAAAAAAGTATAAATTCCTGAGAACATAAATTCTAAAAATTTTCCTTAGTATGATGTTATCATTCAATTACTGTTAACACTACTGATCAAATAATAAACATATTACAAACTATGATCACTTTGAAATAACAAAAACCAGCTTTTGTTAGAAATGCATGTAATAAAGAGCCCTGGATGGTGTGGCTCAGTGGATTGAGCACCAGCCTGTGAACCAAAGGGTCACCAGTTCAATTCCCAGTGAAGGGCACCTGCCTGGGTTGTAGACCAAGCCCCCAGTATGGGGTGTGCCAAGATGCAACCACACATGGATGTTTCTCTCCCTCTCTTTGTCCCTCCCTTCCCCTCTGTAGAAATAAATAAAATTTAAAAAAATGTAATAAGGAAATGGACAGGGCCTTGCTCCTTCCTACCCATCCCAATTTAGGCCTTGTATCCAGGATGAGCATTATTGCTAGAAAAAAAAATTGAATAATTCTATTCTTATATTTGGTAGTCCTCTCTTCCAAATATTTGGGAGAAGGAAATGTTCTGGTTATACCAATAACCATGTTTTTGAACTATTAAACAACGTACCAAAAATCACAAGGGGGTATGTTATCAAAAACGATTTTTAATGGTCATCTGACAACTCAATTGAGTTCTTCTGCAATATTTTTAAAAGCCATTGGCAATTACCATTCTTGTAAAAGAATTAACTACCCAGTTATTAGAATCATTCACTTTCTAAACAAGATTGAGGTTGTGACAAAAGTATTGCTTTATTATGGAGTGGAAGAGGTACAATTACCAAAGAGGGAAAGGTATCTAATTCAGGCAACCCAGAGGCAACTCAATTCTAGCAAAGAAAACATGCAAGTTGACAACCTGAAAGTTAACATCCTTAAACTATCTTTTTTGTAGTCACCTGGAAAGCCTTCCTCTGCCTTCCAATATTAAGGGTAGGGGACATGTGTTGCCCAGTTTGAAGACTATCGGCTTCAAGAGGCACACAAATTTGGATATACAGTGTTAACAGAAAGCACAAAGTAGCTCACAACCATCTTTGTGAGTGTAAGTGTGTGGGGGGTGTGTGTGTGATAAGGCATAAGAGAAAAGAGGGAAGACAGACTAAATGCCCAGAACCAGGTTTTTCATTTTGGGTAGTATTTTTTAATCTGCTTTTTATCTTTGGCACTAAAATCTATTCCTTTACCCTAAAGCTCAACCTGGATATCTGATATGTGGGGGAGAAGACACATCAGAAAAACTTTAAAATACTGAGCTGAATCATTTTCTTCTTTACTCAAAGAAAAAGAAATGAATTTGCTTTTCAACAAGTCTGAAGTTATTCTTAATTATGAATTAAGGTTTAAAAATAGAAAGCATTTCTACATGAATCAAATACCAAATAATTTATTTCAGATGATTTTGGGTGCCTCAAGCGATTTTGGTAATAGTCTTCAAAAATCTACTAGCTAGAATACATGGCTTGGTGGTATGCTATTAATTTTTCTTCTGCTACTATGATTGGCTATGGTTGAATCTCAGGAATTAACTGGGTTTGCTTTTAAATTTGTATACATATTACAGAGGCAAAGAAACAGGATTGACTCTTGTCCAAAATATTAAAAACACTGCTCTCTTCCATGCTCCAGCCCGATAAATTGAAGCCAATGGACCTTTCTAAATGATTATATTAATATAGGTATTTAAATATTTTAAACATACCATGTAACTTTCAGTAGTGGTCTTTGTTCGTAAGAGCTGTGAATTTTCATTTAAATCTAAACCAAAAAGGGAGGCTTAGCAACAATAAAAACAGTTTAAAATAAACCCTAGAGCTGAATCAATCCTTCGATAAGCTGACACCTGGGCTGATGAATTAAAATGCGATGCAAAAAACATCTGCCAATAGAACGCACACCTTAACGATATTTAAGCCCTCGGTTGACAAAAGCACTACGTAAGGGCGTGGTCAGGAGCGTAACTGTTGCCAGTTGGTTAATGAGTGTAAATTGCTTGTAATTGCCGTTTTCTCGGTTTTTCCTTTAACAATAACCCTAAAACTCGAGGGGCTCCATCTGGCTGCGACTTCCAGACATTATAATAAAAGTCAACTACTAACTCCACAGCTCACGAATGTCACCTAGTAAAAAATCAATGGTGGTAGCAATTGCAGGGTTGCTACAATCCCCAAAGCTGTACCCTAAATTCAATAAATACACATTTTTAAAAGTTTTGTGTGGAAGAACTACGGAACGTTCTACAATGCGCCGAGTTTGTTTCAAATAATCGCCCGAGAGTTCGAACGTGCGTCCAATAAACAGGTGAGGGCGGGGTATACAGCTCCTCACGTGCGCTCCTACCCCACGCGCGCCCATCGTGACACATTTCCCAGTTTCCAACTGCCCGGCGACTGCGCTCAAAGCTCGTAAGGGCACTACCAAGCAGAATAAATACGCAGCACCCTCAACTAGAGGCTAAATGAAAAAGACGCACTAGACTACAGCGATTGAGGCCAAGAGACCAACCGTCGTGTCGTCAAATACTGCTCTTACCCACCACTTTGAGCACCCCCTTCAATTCTTCGCGTCGCCGCGGTCCCGCCCCGTCCTGCTGCGAAGACTCACGGGACACGTAGTACGCCACGCCCACCTCCCAACTCCCAACCTCCGAGCCCCACAACCCCGCCCTTCCTAGCTCGGGCCGTCTCCCCGCTGCTCCCTCCGGCCTGACTTCCGGTTTCCTGGCGCGGCCGGGTCCGACCCTCGGACAGCTACAGCCCCTTTTCCGGCTGTGTGCTGCTCTTCCCAACAGCCCCCTCGACCGCGTTCCTCCTCCGCGATGAGCGACGCGGCCACGGGCCCGTGCGGACGCTGAAGAGGCCAGTGCCGGCGGGCCTGAGTCTCGCGCGCGTGTTGCTGGGTAACGGGGCTGCTCCAGGAGGTGGCTCGGGCCTCCAGTCTTGGCTTGCCTCTCCTTTCCGAACCTCCAGGGCCCGGGCCAAGAAATTGGGGACGAAACGGTCATAGTGCAGTCGAGGCCAAGGAAATGGGAATCCCTCCGCGGTGTTCCCTGAGCGGCTGCCTTCGCTGGAGAACCGGCTGTGTCTTCGAGGAAACCGGAAGCCCGTGGTGACCCCTGGCGACCCGGTTTGTTTTCGGTCAGTCTCTAAACACTGGGGAATCGAAACTCGTCTGGTCTACGTAGCCTGTCTTCGGGGTGAGTGATTCGCTTTAGCCGGGTTAGGGGCGCAGGCAGTGTCAGGACCAACCGCAGCTGCTGTTGCGGTCCCGAAGAGACCCGTCATTTTCTCTGACGAACCCGGGCCCCCTCCTTTGACTAGGGAGCGGCCCACCCCCGGGCGTCCCTTACCCCTGCCACCCCTTACCTCTGCCACCCTCGCACCCTTGCTGTTCCAGGCCCCTGCCACTCTTGGACCGTGGTTGTTCCGGGCCCATTCTTCACTTCTTTTCTTTCCGTACTCTGATCTACGGGGGCGCCTTCAGTTTTATTTCATTCATTGAGGCTGCGTTTATATCTGAAAGGAAAGGGGGCTCGTGGCTAGGACGGTACTGCCTGGCGCATCGGAGCAGTGGAGCAGTGGACACAACCCCCGTGTCCATTATCGAGGTCTAACAGTAGGTATTCGCCGTTTCTCCTGTGTCTTAACTTCTGTATTGTATCGTTGTCGATCTTTTGTAGTGACTGCTACGTGCAAGGTAGGCTAAGACCTCCGTCCCTACAAACAGGGATCTCAAGTAATCGAAAGTGGGATAAAGATAGTAACGAAAACTGCCGTACAAATGAAAACATAAATTGCTCCAGATGTGTTGTGGGAAATATGCTGATAAAAAACAGTGACGTGGGAGGATTAAATTGATATTTGCCTCTTAAACGTCCAAGACGCTCTCCATTTTTGTAATTGGATTGAGCAAGATCTCATGGCATAATTTAAACTCCAGTTCTCTAAACATGCCATGTCTAATTTCTTAACCTGTTGTGCATCATTTGTAAATTAGGAATTGTTCGTCCCTCACAGGGTTATTACAAAGTTTTAATGCGATATTGTTTGTAAAATGGAAAATCGTATGTAAATGTAAAGTTTTAACATTAAAGAAACATAGTGCCATGAGAAATGCGCTGGATTAAGTCAGAACATTAACTCAGTATTTGCATGATGATTTTTCTACTTATTTACTTGACACTGGGTAAGAGGTGAAATTTCCTCTTCATTTTCTCTCTCTCAAATGGTATTAAGGCTTACTCTTCCAGGTACCTAAGCATAGTTCCTAAGAGTCTGCTAGCTCTGGAGTCTACTGGGTGATTTTCATTCTTGGCTCTCCCACTTTCTGAGGTTTGCCTACCTCAGAGGTCTTTATGTAGATTTAATGAATTGTTAATAATAAATGAGACAGTTTCCCTAGCAGGCAAAGTATGTTGCCTGACATACTATAAACACTTGGTAAATATTATTTACCAATACAGAGTGTTGTCATGATTACTAAAATGTTATAAATTTTCATAATCCATGAAGTAACAGCCAATGTGGTATGTATATTCTCGATTACAATTGTTATATCGCTATTAGAGAATACAGTACTTATTGCTAATACTAGTAACATTTAGTGTATATAGGTGCTCAATTACCTTGAGATGTATTACTTTATGAAAGGAATGAAAAGAAGTAGACCGCTGTTAATAGTATATACTTTATAAAGTTTATACCCATATAAACCCTGAAAAAGTCTTATGAGTCCCTGTCTCTACAAACTGATTTCTGAACTGATGTAGTTAGTGAAGTAACTGTGAGAGTTATAAAAATGAAAATGAAGTTTTTCATACTGTATATGTGATGCTAAGTACATTTTTGGGCACTCACTAAGTTACAGGGTGTTTTGAGTGCTGAGGTACATAGATCGAGTGACAGTATCTTGAAAAAAGGCATTTGATGATCCCTTCTTTATGAGCTAGATAGGCCATTCCTACTCATAATTATTTCATTAAAAATAGAAACAGAGGAGTGTTGGTCTGTTTGCTTCCATAAGACTTGAATCTTGCTCCGTAGTATCTTGACTTAACCCTATGAAGAGATTCTAGCTTTTCAGAGGTAGAAAGATGATGGAAATTCTAAGATAGTATGCATGTGTGAAAGTCTTATATAGAGATACATATACATACTTGCAGTTTGCAGTATGGGAATAACGCATACTTTCCCTTTGGAAAGGAAATAAGAGGATTTCGACTAGTGGCAACATGGCTAGAATGATGTTGCTGTTATTTTGGAATAGTGTCAACCCCAGAGAGAAAAACTTAAGCCTTTTTAGAGGAAGAAAACTTAAACTCTTTTTCCATCATTAGAAAAAGTGTAACTTACACCAGAAGCATCAGGGGTTAATTGTGGTTATGAGGATCTGCCACTTTGGGGGGATATTGTAGGTAGTCTAATCCTTTTCTTATTTTTGTATTTCACTGATATACTGGAGAAAATTCTAGCTTAAGAATAGGAGTTAAAGATTGATTGAATGGTAGATTTAACCTATTCAGACTTGTAGTATACCCATTTACTTTTGCCTACTTTTCTCATAATCCATTTAGGAAACAAATTGCTAGACACTCTGGATTCTGACTTTAATTCGAAGCAGTTGGAAGCTTTTTGTTATAAAATCAGAAAACCAAAATATACAGTGATAAGAGGCCAGACTGCCCCCCCACCAAGAAAAGAACATTTAAAAAAAACTTTCCTTAACATTTATGTTGTCTGAAATAAAGCCAAACAAACTTTACAGGCATTGATTGATACAGGGAGGGAGATCAAAAGTTTTGGAGAAAAGCAGGCAGAGTGAAACACAGATTCTGGACCTCTATATACGCCTTGACTCTACTATGTTACTGTGGAAAATTACTTCCTTCTATGTCAGTTTCCTCATCTATAATACCTTTAGAACAGTGACTAACACTAGTAAGCAATCAAACATTATTTCAAGCAAGGGATGGCAATAAAAATATTTTTTTAGGAATTAATTAATTACTAATCTAAGATACATGAAATTCCATTAACAGTCTTTATGTAGAATGCTCTATTTGGTGTTTTGTTTTACAAGATTGTTTAGTTTTCTTATGGTTGGCTGTCACTCTTACCCTGTTTTTCCTATGAGGTCTTAAAAGGTTTCAGCCACTGTTTCTCCTTCCATGGTATTGTTCAGGAACATAACTCTCAATGAGGAAGTAATGCTGAACCTAACAATAAAAGTAGATGTACAAAGCAAGTATATTGTTCACTAACTAATGAAGTAACTGGCTTCTCTTAGGTTTTAGACTCAGTTATTTTTCAATTCTACTCTATCCATTCTTCACTCAGTAATCAATATTTACCCTGGCTGGCGTGGCTTGGTTAGAGCATTGTCCAGTAAATCAAAGGGCCATGTGTTCGATTCCTGGTCACGGCACATGCCTGGGTTTCGGGTTTGGTTCTGGCGTGTACAACAGGCAGCTGATCAATGTTTCTCTCTCACATTGATACGTTTCTCCCTATGTCTCTCCCTCCTTTCCCCTCTCTCTAAAACCAATGGGCATGTCCTCAAGTGAGGGGGAAAAAAGTTAAACTGTTTAAAAACTAATATTTACTGAGCATCTTGCACGTAATAATTAGTTGTGGACACAGAGTTGAGCAATAATTAGTTGTGGACACAGAGTTGAGCAAAAACAGACCTAACCCCCACCTTCACAGAGCTACTGTTCTACTAGCTTCCATTTGGGCAAGTTACTTTACTCTTCCAATCCCAGCCAAATGTAGATGATGCCTACTTCATAGAATTGTATGGATGAGTTTAAATAAGATAGTATTAAAAGAATGTAGAACGTGATATGGGACATAGTGGACAATCAAATATTCCTTTGTCTTCTATTGTGAGTGTATAACAAATATAATTAGTTATGGTATGGAAAGAATATTGTGGAGTATACATGAAAACATCTATTATAATATATTGTAATGAATTATACTCAAAGAATTCTTAAAAATTTATAATTTGGGAAGCTGTAAATCTTCCTACTTATATCTAAGAATGAAAATGATGATGAGAAAGAAATATATGGGTATAATGAGTTTAAATTTTTTTCCTTTGATGGTGGTGAAGTGGTGTTTCATAACTTTTTATAAAACTTAGTAATAGCTTATAGTTTTATATGCTTTATAGATTCCAACTCATGTAATAATCTTAAAAACTCTGTGAAGTAGTTCCTATTATTTCTTACACTTTCTATATGAGGAGACTGAGGCAGAGAGGTTAAGCAACCTGTCCAAGTCACACAGACACTGAAGCAGTAGAGCTTGGATTCAGGGCCCAGCAGTGTGGTTTCAGAGTCCGTGCTCTTAACTCTGCACTTGTGCTGCCTCTAAAAGAAACAGGAGTTTTTAAACATTGCCTCAGTATTCACGTTATTCTAAATATATCTTCTTTCTTTGTTCATTTATTCAATGAGACATTTGTACTTTTTTTTATTCTTTTAAATAGTGGTCATGGATACACTGGTAGAAGATGATATCTGCATTCTGAACCATGAAAAAGCCCACAGGAGAGAGACAGTGACTCCAGCCTCAGTATATTCAGGAGATGAGTCTGTCGCTTCACATTTTGCCCTTGTCACTGCATATGAAGACATCAAAAAACGACTCAAGGATTCAGAGAAAGAGAACTCTTTCTTAAAGAAAAGAGTAAGATTTTTGGAAGAAAAGGTAATCATTACCTTCATTATGTGTTATGACTAAAAGAATAATTCAAAATATTAAATATTTTTCTGTCCTGTCTTCAATGGTTACACTAAATTTCCAAGGATAACTCACCTCTAATCTGAAAGTCCTAGGCATTGTACCTATCATACTGTGTTATGTATCATGGGGGGATATTTGTAGAATAGGATTTAGCAACTTGGGAATATGTGCCAAGCATTCTTCTTAACTCTTTCAGATTGCCTTACCTTTATAACTTTATGTTTTTTATTCAGGAAATTAAAATCTGCAAAAATTGTGGCTAGTAAAGGAAATTAAGCGTCAAAGGAGGAAGCTCCTGGAACACTGTTCTAATATTCTTAATAATGTCTTCACCAGGAGTTGTATCTCTACATCAACATTCTCTTTTGTTTTTTGAACACCCAAGAATAACGATTTTTAAGTAATAAATTTCTTCTAATTACCTTTTTCATGAATAATCCTGACACTTTTAAATGTAGAATATACAGACAAGATAGTTGATTCAATTATAAGTTATCAGATCTGCTTGGCTTTGTGTATTGAGAAATCTTCCTCACTCACCCATTTATTTTTAGTTTTAAAGTTTTAACTTAGTTTGTTTCATCAGACAGAGCAGGATACTCATATTTTACAAACAGAAGGGGGAAGGAAATGGATTCCGCAGCAGCCAAGGAAATGAATTATCCTTTTGTGAAAACTCAGGGATGGAACTTGGTAGAGTTTACTTCATTTGAGGGGACTTAAGAGAAGTGGTGTCAGTGTAAAAATAATCACATTTTCTTTGTATTCACATGAATTAACTTTAAAGGTGATTAAATGAATTTGTGACATAATGGGTTAAGTGAGAAAAGGTAATATTTTGGAGCTCATAGCTGTGTGTATTTTAAAGTTCAGAAGAATATTGTAATTTGATATGGTTAACATTGGAAATATTTCTGTACATCATGACCAGCAATCCTATTAATTCCTGCTCTGGAATAGTACAGGATTTAATGAACTAACCCATCTATCTATTCCTTAAGAAGTCAAGAACACCTTAACTTGATACTTTTTTGTGATAAGGGAAATTAAATATTACTGGCTTGGAAAACACCTAAGAACTATAATGACATACTGTGTTTTAGTATTATAAGTTAATATGTTACAAAACGGATACTACAAAGTATAAAATACTAAGTAAGGGTAAAAGCATAAAAGACTACTTTAAAAATATTCTGTATTTTTTTGCTTTCTTAGTAAAGCTTGATTGTGTGGAAGTGAAATGTTCAGTTAATTATAGTCTAGGCTTTATCCCTGCATTACAATGATTAAAATAAGATGTGAAGCCATCAGAAGACTAATTATTTTATGTAGAATACCTTCTGAAGCTTTTTGTTCTAATTTTACACCATTAGCTTATAGGAGCTCGATTAGATGAAGAAACAAGTTCAGTGGGACGAGAACAAGTAAATAAAGCCTATCATGCATATCGAGAGGTTTGCATTGATAGAGATAATTTAAAGAGCAAATTGGATAAAATGGTAAGTTGGTTTGAAATGAATGATACCTATATACTGCAAATGAGTTTTCTCAATCAAGAGGTTAAAGTTAGAAATAAAAGAAATACTTACATTTATTAAATTAAAAATTTTAAATGTACATGCTCAAGGCAAAAAGAGAAAATTTTAGTATTTGCAACTTATTTGTATAATGATGTTTAGGACTTAAGTACATGTAACACCACTAACTTTTATTGAAAAACTATGACATGGTAGAATATATTAGTGTTTAAACAGATTTTTTTTTAAAGCCGGTGAATAAAGTCCTAAGTTAGAAAAAGGAAAAAAAGAGATTAGTGGACAACTGAGTTTATTTTCCCACCTTGCTTTTAAAAGATTAGAAGCAGTTTTTTAACATCTACCTGAAAATTAATATATAATACCAACCTACAGGTTTTATTGAATGTAATTTGGCATTTTCCCTACTTAACTAGAACAAAGACAACTCTGAATCTTTGAAAGTGTTGAATGAACAACTGCAGTCTAAAGAAGTAGAGCTCCTCCAACTAAGGACAGAGGTGGAAACTCAGCAGGGTATGCCACTTACTTGTTATAAATATGCTAACAGGATGAACACATTTTTCCCTTCATATGTTGTATCCATGATCAGTGTTTTATATCTATATGCTAAGGCTTTAACTTATTTTTTAGTTTTTAGGCTTATGTTAATTTTGCTGCTCTGCTTTCACAAAGTACTGACTCTTTTTAATGTTTCCTTAGATATAAATTGCATTTTTCCTAGAAAATAAAATGGTTTTTATTCAAGCCTAGTTTGTGATGAAGTAAATGAAGAAATGATTAGTACTCCATCCTTGTCAAAGCCTCTTGCCCTCTGATATGCCCTGGCTTTTCCTTCCCACTGATCTTTTGCCCATTGTTAGACACACTGTCATAGAGTGGTTACAATTTTTTAATTTCTGAAGGTTATTAAAATGTGCAGATGAGTGATGAGTTGCTGGATGAAAAGTTAGGTCTTTGGGATATGACTACTGGCCTATTCACATGAACATTATGATGAAACAAGCTGAAAAGTAGGCCTGAGAGATCTTCCGATAGGAGATAGAGATGAGATCTCTTACGGTAGCTGATTGGAGCTTTTTCTAGGTAGATTAAGGAACTAAATTGGGGTAAGTCAATATCCAGTTGTATTGAGGGTCTACTGTGGAAGATTTATGAATAAAATAGTTTTGACACTAATGTTCTAGGCTTAAGTGACAAACTTTATTCTCTGAAAGGACCAGTTGTAGTGATTAGCTGAGTTTACTCACTTTAATGTTTATCACTGTCTTAAAAACCTTACATAAAAATTGTTAGTCTGTCTATAATTTTGGCTTAATGTTATGTATTTTGATGTTCCAGACTGACAAGTTTGTACTTAAACTCTAAACAAAATCAGGGATGGGGTGAATAATACATTCTAAAACAAGATTGCTAAACTTTTTATTCTCATTAGCATAGATTTTTAAAATAATTACTAGTTTTAAAAAACTAGTAATAATTTTGCATATTTTGCATTAGTTTTTCTATTATGTACATTTTACTAGCAGAGCCTTTTTAGGGTTGCAAGTAATGTAGAAAGCAGTGATAAAAAAATGTAATGTCTTTTTTTTTTTTTTTTTTTTCCTTTTTCTCTAGTGATAAGGAATTTAAATCCCCCTTCATCAAACTGGGAGGTAGAAAAGTTGAGCTGTGACCTGAAGATCCATGGTTTGGAGCAAGAACTAGAACTGACGAAGAAAGAATGTAACAATCTCAAAATAGAGCTACAGAAAGCCAAACAAATGGTACTGCAGAATTATTGAGAAATTCAGAATTCTGTGTGCATTGTATGAATGGCTTTTAACTAGGTATTAAATCATAAAGCTAACAAATTATAACTACTCACTATTACATTCTCTGAAAAATTCACCTTTATTTTTCCCATTTTTGCTAAAATCTGATATACTATGTACTTTTAGAATAATCCTGGAATTACATAATTTTGTTGTAAAAAAAAAGTTAACTTTAAAAGCTTATTTATTAATTTCTTAACGCTATTTCAAATTCCCTTCAATTTCCTTAAGTCATTTGTTTTTATCTAAGAAAACTTGGGCTTTAAATTTCCCATTTTATTTTCCTTAATAATTTGATTAATTTAGATACCAGAAGAAACAATTTTTAGAATTCTTAAAAACGACTGAATTTACAGAGTCCACTATTTGCAGAAGTCTAATATTTTGGTGGCAAGTTGAATTTTTAACAAATAGCTGAGAATTCAAGAATTGGGTGGCGGTAGGTGGGGGGGCATTTGGGTACACAAACAGAAAGCGCCAATGAGCTGCTTCGGAGCGGTTAGCTTCAGGTCACCCACTGCACCACCAGCTGCCTGTCTGTCCTCACCGAGCATCTATTCCCTAGTACTTTACACTGGGTTCTAACAAGCTTGGATACATGTTTTTTTAGGTGTTATGACAGATAGTGCCAAGGATAAAAAGAAGTGGTAGAGGAGCAAGGAAGAGTGAGAGCAATGCACCAAGTGCAAAGTTTAAAACAAGTTATTACTAGAAATTTAAAAGCCTAGTAATCTGGAATCAGGTAGCGATTATATACATTGTATGCAGTCATGCATGTTGAACTAAGGTAACTCGTTAGATAATTATTTCCCAGTTCCACCACTTTGCCCGTCAGAGCATTCCAGCACCACTGAAGAGCAGTGTCACCTACTACGCATTCCTCTGAGATGCCACAAACTGAAAGAGGAACTACTTCCAACTCTACTGACACAACAGCCAGGACTGTGCCTCTGAATCCCAGCTGCCCTTACCTGGAGCTGGCAGTCCTCTCCGTTCTATAATGCAGTCTTTATCGAAAGTGACCATTGGTTAAGAATGAGCCAGGCAGTAAGAGTCATACAGCATCCTACCTTGTCCTTGACCAAATGAATTCCTCTGAACTGGGCAAAGAACTTGTTTTGAAGCCCTCAACCCTGAGGAATGGGAAACACTACAAAAATTGCGATCAATTCCTATTAGAGTAAAATGTTATTTTTTTCCTATTTGACATCTCAAGTTGATTTTCCCAGCTTTGAACCTGTGGCTGTACCACAATTCCTTGAAATGCTTTCAGCATCCTTTCCCACAAGCCCAGCTGCGTATAGTTCTGTGAGCCTTCTCTTAAAAAGACGTGCTTGCAAGTAAAGATCTGCACCTTGAAGCTCTGAGCTACAATTGTCAGTATATACATCCTACCTGAGATAATTTGACAACTTTTATACATAATGGGTATTTCCTTATTGAGCAGGAAGCAGTACCATGGAATCAAAAACTTGGGTCATAATTGTAGTGCTGCTTATTAACTATGTAACAGGAGAGTTACTTAACTGTTCTGAACTTGTTTTCTATAAGTATTAAATACCTATTTTTTATGAAGATTAAATTAGATAATATATGAAGCAGTTGGCATAGAGCTTAGTATATTCAATAAGGAAATTTTTTTTTTTTAAAAGCATAATTAGGGTAATTCAAAATAATGCTTTTTGGGGTATATATGTAGATGTGACTTATAGTGCAGCTCTTAGTACTCTTTTCCACTAGATGGTGCTAGGGGACAAATTTGCTTTCAGTTTAATTCATCTCTCATAAATCACAGAAACAGACTTGAAGGTAGAATAAACTTTAGAAATCACTTACCTTTTACTGTTGATGAAATTGAATCCAAGAGACTAAGAAACTAAGAGTCAAAGATGAAATGGGAAAACTAAAAAAAAAAGGCCCCCAACTTCATAGGAATTTATTTGGCATGGGGAGGTGAGATTTAAAGTTGAAAATGCTCACAGGTAATGTAAGAAAATGACCCAGGAAAAGGAAGAGTGGAAATGCTTAATTCATCAAGGGTTCCAGATTGATATCTTACCTTGACATTGTGGGATGTCTACTTTTAAATCATGTTTCACAGGTGTTTCTGGTCAGAGTCAGCAGGCAAATCAAAATGCAAACCAAGGCTAGAGAAATTCATGTTCACATTAATAGTCTTATATCTACTATAGACTCATTTACAAATATTTTTAAGATAGTACTTTCTGTGAAACAGCACCTTCTGAAATGTGATACAGTGTCTTACATGGACATGATAGTATTTTTAGATTTGTTTGTCCTTTTAAGTATTTAGTAAACTCATTTGATTAGTTTGGGCATTAATGAGGTAAAGGTTCTAGGGTAAGTTCCACTATGGGCCTTTGAGACGACCTGTAACCCAAAATTCCAGCCCTTGATACCCAGTACAGTTAATGCTTTGAGAAAAAAAGATGCCACTCTCAAAAAAGTGTAGGAAACACTGGATCAGTAACATAGGGTTGGTGTAGATGTGTAAGTTTCCTAACAATAGCCCATTCACAATGTGCTATAGTACACTGAAGGCTCTGAGAAGTCCTCTAGTATAGGAACCTGTTTAACTTAAGCAGTATTTACCAAGATTTTGCGGCCATGGGCCCAGTTATGGGAAACTCCCCCATCATATGGCACTAGTTAGGAAACAGATCTGTTACTGCCTTTTTGAACAGGCAAACTGATGACTGGCCAGGAACTGGGTCTTTGAATATTAGAGACAATTCCTTTGTGCTTAATGCTAGTCTGCATTAGATTGTCTGAACTGTTAGGCAGTAGCTAGAAAAATACTTTTTCAACCCAAGCCGTCAGATTAAAAACAAAAATCGTTGTCTTTAAAAATGACGATTTACATTCTACATGTATGTTTAAGTATACACTAATTTAAATGTATATTTTTAAATCAGCAATACAATGAAGCTAAAGTGGCCTGATTCCTTTATCTCCTATGGAGAACAGGAAAGAAAAATGTCCAAGGTCATGCGTGTGCCTTGGACCTTGTCTGATCTAGGGCCAGTTCTGTTTCCCTTCTCCAGTGCTCCCCAAGATACAAGTTAAATGTTACAGTATTTTTTGTTGGTATTTTCTGAATAATCAGATCCAAAAATGCTTTAACTCCTATAATAGAAAACACTTAAAAATTTTACTCTTCAAAGTTCATAATACTCATAAGGTCCTTACACAGCCTGTTAATGTTCCACTCTAAAGCATATTTAGATTATCTAAATAAATGCTAAAATTTCATTATTTAAAATTTTGTTCTCTCAGTTTATTCTGGCCACTTTTGCCAACTGAATTAGTACCTGTGATAGTGGTTTTTATTTGTTATAGATCTTTAAATGAGAATACATTGCAAACAAATTTGTTAGAGTTGTCTTAAACATACTAAGTCTACTTTTTAATGTCTTTTATACATTTCTGTCATATCTATAATGTACTTCACTAAAACTTAAAATATGTAAGGATTTTATAAACATCTGTATGGAAAGAGGAAGTTTATGCTGATCTTTTAAAAAGGTAACCTATTAAACTTTGGTACTTTTTAAAAATAATACCAAAAAAATGAAATAGCAATAAAACTTCCATTTTCTCCTGGAATTCATTCCAAGGTACCTTGAGTAAATATTAATTTTGTTATTTGTTACCCTTTTTAGAATATAGGCTTCAGATTAATGTATTCAGAAATAAATTTTGTAAGGTTCTCAGTTCTTTTACATGAGAGCAATTTCACTTTTTTGTAATTGATTTTGAAATACATATGTTTGGAGATACTTCATTAAAATGGAATATCAAATCTAGTTTTATGCTGTAGAGTTATAGATGGATTCTACCCATTTGAAACATGTTTCTAGTAATACAAAGTGTACCGAGCTTAAGTGGACTATAACAACTTTCAAACTTTTTTTAAAAATGACAGGATCTATCTCAAGAAGAAAATCTGCAGAGCAGAGATCTCCAAAGACTAAGCATTTCAAGGTACGAACATTTTTCAGCATTCAAAAATAATACATTCTTCTTCCATAGGCCCCTTTGTATAGGTACTTAGAGTTGTTATGTTTTAACCTTAAAAACAAATGAGTATTATTTGGGCACTACATGTAATTTCTGATCCCAAGATATAAAACACATTTAACTGTTAGTTAACAATAGACTTGAACTTGAGTAGAAAGGTGCATTATGTGATGCCTTAACACAATTTTTAAGCATTACATAATATTTTAGATAGGATATTAGAGAGTTAGCTATGTATAAGTATTCTGTAGTAAATCTTAATTTTATACATGAAGAATTATGCATTTCCATATAGAGTAATAACATTTTGTCTTAAGGATAAACTTAGCCTTAGTCTTTGCTGTAATATGAATTTTAAGAAAAATCTCCTCGTGGGGTAAGAACGAGAGTAGCTATCAGAGTTTGTGTACACTACTTCACACATCTCTCAAATACAGATCATTTCTACTTAAGTAACTTAAATGCTGTGTTTTAAGTTCTGTGATAATTTTTGTTTCTGATCTGTTAGGATCCCCTGTTTGCATGGACACTTCCATCCAGTATAAAATTCTGATTTGACTTCATTGTTTGATCATTCATCTTCCAGAGTTTACTGGCCTAAAGTAAATAATGTGAATCCTTACCTTTTCCTATCAAAATGATCAATTAAGGAAAACAGTGTAAGGAAACACCGTGCAGCCACTCTTTTAGGTCCAGGGATAGGCAGACTTTTTCAACAAAGAGCAGGCAGTAAATATTTTAGGCTTTGTGGAATATACAGTCTCTGCTGTATATAAATGCCATTTTAACAGTACTTTGATTTTGCTTTTGACTTCTAAATTTACAATGAAGTTTTCCCCTTTTTATTTTTTAATAGTGTGTTTAGTACAGTGTCCATTTAAATTATTTCTCAAACATGTCTTCTCTGTCAGTTGGCTCGTTAGTACTCAAGCACGCTCGTGTTCAATGGCATGTCTAAAGTAACTACATACATATCTTAATTTAAAAATACATGATTGCTAAAAGATGTTAACCATCGTTTGAGCCTTCGGCAAGTTTGTTTTGTTTTTTTTTTTCTTTTTTGCTGGTGGAGGGTCTTACTCCTATTTGTGAAAAATGCAGTATCTGTGAGGCGCAGTAAAGCAAAGCACAATAAAATGAGGTTTGCCTGTAGAACATACCAGAGTGTAATATACATAATAAGGGGATAAGGATCATTTCTCCTAACTTTTCATTGAGTTGCAGTGTAAAGTGATTGCTTGCTGTGCCTTACAGTCAAAAATGTATGAAATATCACTCTTTAGGAGGAATCACAGTTGACAAAATAGTTCTAAGTCTCTAGCTCTTGGCTAAGCCTATGGCATATTTTCATTTTAGTTCTGGAGATATATGAGTAAATTTCTAAAAGCTAAAGAGAAATTTGTATGGCTGAAGTAAAAACTCAGTTAAGTAGATATTTCTTATTCAAGGAATATTCACTTCATTATTAAAGAGTTGAATGCATGATGTCAATAAAGAAAACTGGGCTTTTTCACTTTGCAAGCAGGACATGTATGTACCCCTTCCAGAGATGTGGATAAACAGGCTCCATTACAGTCACGATTCAGAGGCAGGAAATTTCATAGCAGGGCTAGTAAGGCTGTGCTGACAGTGTGCATATCATAAGTGCGTGCAGTCAGCGCAGTCATGATGATGAAGGTGCAATACGAAAATGTTACCCCCCAAAGAGCAATCAGTTATTAGATTGGATAACTCAAAGATGGCTTTGAACAGCAGCATGTTAGGGTGGAGTAAAATTTCCTGGACCTGTTTCCTCAGGTAAAATTAGTTTACCCAGTTTGCCAAGTTGCTATGAGAATGTGGGTGCAGTACCTAGCATATAATAAATGGTCAAACATTTTTTGTTTCATGTTTTGTTTTTAGGGTTCTCATTTTGGGTGCTTTAGTGTTGCATCTCAGTGTTCAAGTAGTTTTCTAAGTTCTTTATAGAAACCATGTATATTACTAGGATTTTGCCTCTATGCCACTTAAAGCAAAACTTAACTAATTTCATACCCCCAGTTCTGGGCAGGCGAAAGGAGGGTTGGCGGTGCAATTTATACAATCTCAAAGATGCCTAGATAAGTAAAGGTTAGTTGGATCTCTGCTAAAGATTTGTGGGTGACAACTTGCCTTTTCCAATCTCACTTAAATAATGAGTTAAAGTTTCAAGGGTGTGTCCAGCCAGCACCCAGGATGGCTAGGAATGTGGCCCAACATAAAATGGTAAATTTACTTAAAACCTTTTTTCTTTTGGCTCATCAGTTTTCATTAGTGTTTATTTATTTTTAAGATTTTATTTATTTTTAGACAGAGGGGAAGGGAAGGAGAAAGGGAGAGAAACATCAATGTGTGGTTGCTTCTTAATACACCCCCTACTGGGGACCTGCCTGCAACCCATGCATGTGCCCTGACTGGGAATCAAATCGGCGACCCTTTGGTTTACAGGCCGGTGCTCAATCCGCTGAACCACACCAACCAGGGTGTTTGTGTATTTAATGTGTGGCCCAAGACAACTCTTTTTTTTTTCCCCAGTGTGGCCCAGAGATGCCAAAAGTTTGGACACAAGATAGAATTAAAAATAATTTTTTAACACACCTTGAGGACTATGTAGCACTTAATGTAGTTGTAAAGTAACTGCCATTACTTTGCTATCCACAAGAGGGAGAACTTATACTTAGTAACAGTTCTAGATTTTTGTATCTGTAGTTTTTAAATCAGGTGACATTAAGGGCAAAAGAAAAACACTAGATATATGTTAACTTCGTGACTTAGCTAGTTTAACCTGATTTATGAGCAGTCTTCATTTCTTTAATTGGAAAATTTCTGTGAGATATTGCTTTTAATAGCTCTATGCTAATTCTTTTATTTTACATACTTACTATTTTGAATGATTAAATATGTTTGATATTCTAGTATCTAAACACTACTTGGATATTTCCTTTTCCTTTCTCCAAGTCTGTACTTATTTACCATCTCATACCAATAATAAAACACTATTTTTAAGCAGTATGCATATCGTGACTGCATGAATTATTAGCACGTGTGCGGTGTTTATACTCACTGCCATGTTATATGAGTAGCTGTAGAAAGCATACTGAATGCCCAGAATTGCACCAAGGAACCAACAACTCTTCACACTTACGATAGGTTCCTATGTGGAACATTCATGGTAGCACCGACCTCAGATACTTACTGGTGAAATAGAGGTGGTTAACTACTTTTTGAAAAGTAATTATTTCACACTTATCAAAAACCTGCAAAAAGTCTTGATTTTTAATAGATTACTGGTTAACAAGTGACGTTTACAACAGACAAAAACCTGTAGTTTTTCAGAGATAGTATAAAATTTATTCTACTTCTGTTGAAAGCATTGTCTGAGTGCAATGGGATATTTTGAGAAAAATGTATGTAACCTTACATAATTCAAAATGTTTTTCTAATGTGTCTGTTGCTTCTGTAATTAAAATAGGGTATTAGATTTAAATAACAAGAGTATTAGTCCTTGAAGTTTGTTTAAAAAGGTTTTTGTTTATAGCTAGACAAAAATTAAAGCATGAAGTGACGTGTCTGTCAAATCTGATTTCATTATTACTAAAAATTATACCAATACCTTTACTAGGCAATAATGGTCATTTGAACACTGTTGTACCAGTTGTTCTTACATCTAATATTTTGTTATTCTAGTACAGCAAAGTAAGAATATATGTTGAAGATTTTGATTTATTTATTTGGCAATTAAGAACCTAAAAAGAAAATTATGAATATCCAAATAAGAATGTTTAATGGAAGATGAAACTTATAAAAAAATTAGGTTTAAAATAATCTAATTTCTCAGATAATTGAGGTAATACTTTTAATCATAAATATGAGAGGCATTTGTGAAGTTTTTATTTCTGTTTCATATAATCCTCTCTCTAGCTTCTTTTCCTTTACCAGGAAATCATCTGGCTCTTCATGTCTTGTGCTGTCATGTCACATTGGTTTAGAACCAACAATATGAGACAGCCCAGTCAAACATAAAAGAATGGAATACATGAAACCTAAATTTTATTTTTAATGGGGCTTGGGTATACATTACCCAATTGCTATTGATGCAGCATTTTGATTCACAACGTCAAAACAGAACAGTTATAAGATAAATATAAATTTAAGGCCCATATATGAATATTACACTAGTCTTGATCAGAGGTGCGAGTGAAGAACATACTCCTTACTATTAAATGTATTAATATCACTATACTATAGTTTATAATAAAATCTCAATTTTGAGACAAGAACCACAACAATCTCTCATTGTTTAGAATACTTTTTATAATAATCTTCTGTTTAATGTAGTTCAGTTAATTGCTATAAATTAGGTCAGTGTTGTTGTCATGAATAAGGTCTTTTTAATTGTTATAATGCCCTAAAAAAATATCTCTCAATTATTTAACGAGGAAGTTTTAGTTTACATAATTTCAAAACTAATTGAGCAAAAATGCAGATATGATCATTACATAATTTCAAAACTAATTGAGCAAAAGTGCAGATATGATCATTTCTGTTTTAAAGTTATTCTCTTCATAAACAGAATAATGATCATTACCTTTTTTTTTTTAACCCTATCAGTGATAATATGCAAAATGCATACTGGGAACTGAAGAGAGAAATGTCTAATTTACATCTTGTGACTCAAGTACAAGCTGAACTACTAAGAAAACTGAAAACCCCAGCTGCAATCAAGAAAGGCAAGTCAATGTTTGCTGGAAACCACTGATTCCAGCCAAACTGCTTGAAGAGCAACTAGCTATCCTATCTTATCAAAATCTCATCAAATGAGTTTGATAAGGCAAAGTATATATAGTATGTTCACAGCCTACCCATTCTCTGCTTTGGCTTCAGTCTCATGCTGGTCAACTTCACACATAAAGGTGTTGCTGATGTGTTTTTTCTTCAGTACTGTATTCTTTTCCCCTTGTGGCTTTTTTTTCTCAGCCAAGTGTTGCTTATGTGTATAAGGCTGAGGTGTTAAGTTTGCTCTAGTTGACCTTTTACCACAACTACTTCATATATTTAAAAAAAAAGACACCCAAAACTATTTTTCATTACAGAATACACCAAAGACCTAGCTCTAAATTGTTTTGAAAAAAGGAACTTTGATTCATTATTTGTTTATTTATTTTTGTAAAGTTAATTTTTCTTTCCATAAAGGATAGATTATTTAGAAGAGAGATTAGGTGCTTACTCCTTTTAGCCAAACAAAAATTTCCATTGCTTTTCCTTTCATATTTAACTGCTTGGCTGACAAAACATTTTGCATTTTCTGTTAACTAGTGGTGGTTACTTTGTCAGAGCTAATTTTATACCTCAGAGAAAAATCAGTGCATTTATACCCTTTATTAGATAGTTGTATTTCTGAAAAGTTGTGTAATACAAATTTGAGTGCCCTAAAATTTACTTTGTAAAGTAATGTGACTTTTTATAAAAAATAATCACCATCCAGTTTTAAACTGTTATTTGTATCTCAGATCGCCCCTAAAGAGTGCATAAATATATTTTATGAATATATATATTCATATATATATTTATTTTTGTGAAAATATATTTTATGAGTAGTTCTCAGCACTGTACATTAGTGGGGGGAAATTTTGCACATGGGGAAGGAAAATTAAATTCAGAATTCCTTTCATTTTTCTACAGTTACTTATGAACCAGGCAAAATAATGTGTTGCCTTGGCAGTTCTTCACTTAATTTCTGGTTCATTTTTTCCTTGAGTTTTCCAGAGGCCAGGGTTACACATAAGGTAATACAAGTTGATGGTATAAATAAGATTTCTCTTAAAAGGGATTCATACAGAAATTTTGCAGTGAATGTTCAGTGTGGCTCTTTGTTTATATAATAAATATAACTTCCAAATAATAATATAGGACAAATGCCATTTCCATATTTAGGAATGCGTCATTCCCGTGTTCCTTCTGAGCTGGTAAGTGATAATATTTAGTGCTCTGGACTGTTACGTTTTCTGAAACATTTTCTATGACAGCAGCAGGCTCAAGTCCACCACTCCTCACTCACCACAAAACTCAATGCTTTGAGGCGAAGACAGCGATGAAATGAGATCACCCTTTTTTCTGGCCTACAATATCATCCTGTCCAAAAGCTGAACAATGTTACTTCCAATTCTCCCAAACTCTTGTCTTTCCTCCTAAGGAAAAAGACAAAGCTTATTTTATAATGTGGTTCCATTGCTTTCTTGTAAAACTATCAAGCCTCAGTTGCATATCCTTTGGTATCCTTTTCGGACTTAAGATAAATTTATCTTTTCTACCCTGGCTGAATCAGAGGAGGAGGAAAAGCTCATTTTGTGTTGGCAGTGGCTAAATAGCTTTAGAGCAGTCTGTTTTCTAAGCCACTGCATGTGTACTAAAGACATATTTGTGCTGTTTTTTTTACTTGACCTATATAACATGATCATGGTAGAATGTACGTTTACCATTATATGTATTTCACAAGACAAAGGATTATTTTGTAGCTTTTATTTAAACTTTTGTTCATAAAAGTCTGACTACATACTATTTGTGTCTCACCAATTCACAATATAATTGTTTCTGAAAAAAATTTACTTTTGGACCACCTATGGAAAAATATTTGAATAAGTAAAGGAATATAATACTTAACAAAAAAAACTAAAACTTACGAACAGGTTTCTTAGTCTCCTCCACTGAAGTAAATAGTCTGGAAGCCACCTCTAACCACGTTAAGAGCCCAAAACAGGACTTTGTATTGGGTTGGCCAAAAAGTTCATTTGGTTTTTTCCATACAGTGGCCCTGGTAGTGCTTAGTTGTTTAACCTCATTAGGAATAATTTTGTTAGACTGTATTTTGACAGCTGTCATATCAGAATGCATTTTTTAAAAAATAATCAAAATTGATGAATTTTTGTGCTGTCATTTTAATATTGAAGATGGAAGAAAATCTGCAACATTTTTTTAAGAAAGGTAAAAACGCAACTGAAACACAAAAACAGACATGCAGGGTATGGAGAAGGTACTGTGACTGATCAAATGTGTCAAAAGTGATTTGCAAAGTTTCTTGGTACTGCTGGTATTTTGGCCAAGTAATTGTTTGCTGTGGGGCTGTCATGTGCATTGGAAGATGTTTAGCAGAACGCCTGGCCTCTACCCACCAGAAGCTAATAGGATGAAATAGCCAAAATACTCAAAATATCCAAATCAATAAAGTTATTGGTGAAAATGAAAATGTCTTTTACAGAAAAGACTAAATGGATTTCTTGGTCAACCCAATATTTTAACTTTGTTAGTTTCCAACTTTTAAAAATTTTGAATTCTTCATTTTTAATAGCTCGGTGATACAGATGAGACAGGATTACTATGCTGTGTCCTGTTTTGCAAATGAAAAAAGTGATACATGGGGCAGCAGTGACTTAACACGTCAGTATAACTGATCCAGTACTAGAACTGAGGTCATTTGTCCTGTCTTTAAGTCCCAGTGCCCAATGATTACACTTATTTGGGAATGTTAATTTTATTTCCAGGTATAAATCAACCTACTTAATGAAGTGTTTCATATTTTTTATGATTACAAATGCCCTTACGACTGACATTTGGCCTGTACTTTCTTTTTTAGCCTGTGTTCCTGTAGGTTGCATGGAAGATCTTGGGAAAGACAGCACAAAGCTACACTTGACGAATTGCACTGTAACATACAAAAGACACCCCACTCTCTCACCAGATGGCAAAACTCTATGTAATACCACATCTTCCCCTTTACCAGGAGATGTAAAAGTTTTATCAGAGAAAGCAATTCTCCAATCATGGACAGATAATGAGCGACCCATTCCTCATGACTGTACAAACTTTCAAGAACACAACTCTTATGGCAGAAATTCTCTGGAAGATAATTCTTGGGTATTCCCAAGCCCTCCTAAATCAAGTGAGACAGCATTCGGGGAAACTAAAAATAAAACTTTGCCTTTACCGATCCTGCCACATTACTTGGATCAACATAATCAAAACTGTCTTTATAAGAATTAATTCTGAACACATTCATGATTTGGTCAGGAGGTTGCTGTACCTCCTGTAGTGGTTCTCTTGAGAAATATTTAATAAACTGAAAGTGGGTTTTGATTAAAATTTTGCAGGGTTCTTCAATGTACACATTTGCACATACTGTACCATATTTCATAGTTGATTTTTCCAGTATGAAAGAGCAACACTCCAGCTTCTATTCTGGCTAAGAATCAGATATATGCTAATAATAAATTAATAAACTTGAGGTGTTTCAAAAAGACAATTCTACCTTTGATAATGATTGTAAATTTCTGCCTCTCACATAAAGAATGTAGTTGAAAGTTTTTAGACATGGTTTTACAAAGCATATGAAATACCTAAACTGCTGTTCATTAAAAATAGAGGAGGCTATTAATATAAGAAAAAAATTACATAAGTTGCAAAAAGGAGCAAATGGTGATGTGAATGGGTTTTATTTCTGTTGACTTTATAGTGCATAAAGAGGAAAAATATAAACAGTGGAATAATAGTATGTAGGTTATTCCATCTCTATATGCTATTGTGTTTCAAAGTTTTAAATTTTAAATCATAGTGTTGATAAAATTTAGAATTGCAATTTGAACTTTAAAACTTGAAGCAGCCTGATCATTGAAGCCAACTTTGTCCCTCAAGTCCTAACTGAAAAGTGATGAAATAGTTAAAATCTGTGTGGTGCGTGAATAAACTATTATAATTCTGTACATCAACCAATTAGAAGTGAAAAGAACATCACAAAGGTTTGTTTAATCTGTCCCTTCAGCATCCATAATGAAAATCTAAATGTGTAACTATAAAGTCATTTTCTTCAAAGTACTGTTATGTAGACGAGCTTATAAATTGTTACTTTGGTTTGAAATGTATCATTTTACTCAGTGGTTTTTAATTGATTTAGGAATTTAAATCTAAAATTCTGTGCTGTATTGATACAATACAGTCATAAAATGTCCCCAAACTCCTGATTCTATGTGGCCTATCATTTGTAAACAAATAAGGACATAACAAGGGTGGCTTCACATGGAAACTTACCCAAGTTATTTCAGGGCTGCAGAGTTAAGAATATCAGTAATAAAATTATTACTTGACTCATATATCTTTTGCCTGAGATAAAGTGTTTCATGTAGGAAACCTTTAGCCTTTTTAATAGACAGTTTCAAATGTCTGTCTTGAACTCAAGAATATCACAGATCTCTTCTTTATTAACTGAATAGCATACATACATACATAAACAATGTTCACCGTTCACCAGATATTTGTCTTTCTATTACCTCACTTACTCAAGCTTGTCTGTGATTAATGGAATTGGTGTCAGATGCTGGAATTTATTCTGACCAATGAACACAGCTGACTCAAGGGAGTGGAATCTCCTGTCAAGTAACAAAACAAAATATGCATAAAACAAATACAAGATTCCAGGCTTTAGCTGAAGGAAGCAACTACCTGTGTAATACCACAGCAGCAGAAACTATTTCTCATGAAGCTGCATAGACTGTATATTATATCTAATCTCTAAGCTTACTGGTTTGCCTTTTTTAAAACCAAGATTGGAAATTTTACAATGTAAAGAGAATAAGTTGTATAGGATAATGGCTTGATTAATGCTTTGAACAATGCAAAGAAATTGTTTAATTAAAATTATTTTTGTTTGAAATTGAAGTGGAGGTGAAATTTTGTCCTTGACTATATATTCCAAGGTCAAGTACTAACTGTGAGTTGTTAATTTGATTCATATATTTGTCTTGTTAAACTTCTTTTGAGTGGAGAAAATGCTTTTCCATCCAAACAGATGGGTATCATCAAATAGATACGTTACAAAGTCAGTGGTTAACGTTCTTGGCAGTTTAAAGTGCTAATAAATAAGTGATGTATAAGACTATTTAAGGAAAATAGCCAAAAATTGTACTCAGCTATAATTTTTTAAATATACACTTTATGATCTTCTGTTCTAAGTGAAGTTCAAAGACAGATGAGAGAATGCTCCATCTGTAGTTTATAAACTTGCTCCAAAGAGCTTCCCTTGAAAATTTCTTAATCTTTAGCTTTTTGTAATACCACCACCTCAATTTACATACCCATAACAATAAAGAGAACATAGCTAACAACAAAAAGGCCACTTATTCCTTCCTCTTGATCCCCTATTAGCTAAAACAAAATTTTTATCTGTGTAAAAAGGAAACTGGGGTTCTGCCAAAATGGAACCTAATCCATAAGCAGAGCAGGGACATACCTATGTGAAACATTAGAAAATCAAAATAGGGGGAAATTAAGAATTACAGAACTAAAGGACTGAATCATGTGAAACCCAGTCCAGTAAGGCCACTTGGAGGAGGTAGAATTTTTACAGGGTAGAAAATCTGGATTGTCAAAATAGTATCAGCAGAGGCACAAATGAGCAAGGAAGACAGCAACTGAGGCAGATGTACCAGTTGGAGAAGCAGTCTTGAGTGTGGATAGGAATGGATGTTCAAAAAGTTTAAATAAGAGTTTAGTTTTTGACAGAATAAAGGATGAACTTACTTATACTATAGCATCTAGAAAGAAAGTGACATCTACATAAATGAATTATCCACATAAAATTGAAGTTGGCCCCTCTGATTCTAATCAAAATAGCCATAAATTATATATTTCACTAGCTTTTAAAAGTAAATATTTTGCCTTTTGAGTAATTAACAAAAGTTAAGGTCCTGTGCTATAGAAAATGCACCAACACCAAAGGTCAACAGGAATATAGGCTTGTTCACCCCATGCTATGTGACCTCTAGGTCACTGTATTTGCTTTGCTTTTTTTGCCTGCACTAGCAGTCGGCCTCCTTTTGATCTGTGGCCTGGGTAAATGTGGTTTCTTTGGGTTTTAACTAAGAGTAAAATCGTTCTCTGAGTGGCTTATTCAATAGAAAAGTGTGGAACTCGAACATACCATTGGTTCTTTAGGGTCCCCTTTGCTTGAAGTCCTTTAAAAAAGTGTCATAGATGTATTTCATAGGATTGGGGACAGTGTGAAATCTTGTCCTTGTATGTAGTAATTTCTGTGTGTGATTTTAATGAAAACTATAAACATATAAAATGAACTGGAAACTGGTCGCAATGGTTTGTGGTACACAGTTCATAAAGGGAGGGGAGCAACTTTTAATATAAAAGCTCAACCTGGAACCAAACTATTGCATTGGGACAGAAAATTTTCACATTAGCTCCTGAAACCATTACTAGGTTACAAAATGGTCATTTATGTTTATAAAGAAAACTTTAAAAAAAAAGAAGATTAAAAGTATTTTCAGGTAGCCAAATTAACAGGCCATGGAAAGTCGTAGTACATTTAGGAAATTTTTCATTAAAGATGTTTAAAATTAATTCATTTTAAGTGCTTATCTACCATCTAAATTCCCAAATAATTCTTTAGTACTGATTATAATAACTAACCATTGAAAAGCATTTACCTAAACTACTCAGTCCTCACAATAACAATATGAAGCTTATTTCCACAGTTGTATAGCTGGCAGGTAGAGAACCAGGAAGGATTCTGGTTCATAACCACCCTACCATACTGCCTGATTATTTAAACACCTTTGAAGGTTGTGTGCTCCTCCTTTAGTTACTCCAATCTGCACGATTAGCCGTTAGTCTGACAGAGTAAGGTTAAGACCTATACTGAACCCTAAAAGTCAGTATTACTGTTACAGGACTGTAGTCTTGGAAAAATTTTTTGAAAAGTCCATAATGACCAGGCAAACCGTATCCCATTTCACTATTTACTACTATCCCGTTTAATAAACTTAAAATTAAAAAAAAACAAACCTTTATTTCAGATAAGATTCATATTTCCATAATTCAGAATAAAGCAAACACTTCTTTGAGTCTGTTATTTTAGGCAATTGTGATTTCCAGGAATAGAGTTACTGAGTATCATTTAAATATTTGCCTACATGCTTGTTGGAAGCTTCTGTATCCTTTTCTTGGCAGGAATCCCAGTTTTTCTGAATTCTTCCCTTTCCTTCAGGTATTCCATTTTACATTCTTCATAAAAGGTAGGATCGTTATAACTGCAAGAAAGAAATGAAAATCTTTTCAAGTGAATCACTTTATAAGTACTTACTATAAGCTCACTTTCATAACATTCAGACATCCAGTTAATTAGGCACAATCTTTAGAAGCAGATTTTAAAATCTGAAACTAAAAATAATATTCAATGTCAAGTGCAATTGATATTTAAAAATACTTTTTTAAAAAGACTTTTAATAATGGTCATAAATTCACTGTAAACATTAGACCACTAAACTAGTTAAAGAAAAGGAAAGAAAAAAGACCTTGTGGTTCTTTTTTGAATAGCATTATCCAAATGAGATACAGCAATGAGAAGCACGGTGCCTCTCCTCAAGGAGCACATGGTGTTACAGACCAAATAGGTAAAGAATGAATTACAGGTAAGGAGACAAAGTGCTCTGGTAGAGGTATGGACCAGTGCACCATGGAAACATGGGGAAAGGGGAGATATCAAGGGAAAATGCTTGAATTGCATTTTGAAAGACCACCAGAAATCCCTATAGAAGGCCCATGGGCAAAAGCCAAATATGAGGGAAAACTAGTGCTTAAAGAATGGCAAGTAACTTGGCACCACTATGGCAGATTATGCACATAGGAGAAAGGGCCTGAGATGAGGCTGGAAAGGGCAAAAACCAAATCATATGGTTCATTTAGGCCACAGTAAAGTTGAAGTCTGTCCTGAAGGTGATGGGCACTGTTAGGAGAGCAACTGTAACGTCAGCTTTGTGTCTTAGAGGAATCTGACAGCAAGCATGTGGCAGATAGGTGAAAAGGGGGCAGCAAAGTTAGAGGCAGGAGAGCTAATAAATATTAGAATAACCCAGACAAGAACTGATGAGGGCCTAGGCCAAAGGAGCAGCAGCTACAATGAAAAGAGGAAATGGATCTGGGGGAGATTTAGGAAATGAAATCAACAGGAAATAACCAGTTCAAGTTAGGAGGCAAGGAAGATACTAGGCAACTGTATAATTCACAAAGACATACAATGCAGAAGTAAAATGGGCCGAGGTTCAGTTCTGGACTTTGGAAAGTATTCTGCAGTACTGCCTGCCAATAATGCAGGTAAGCGTAGAATTCAGCAGAAAGCACCTGCATTCAAAGAACTTCGTGTATTTTTACTTTAAGATTCAAGGAACTAGAACAAACTATCAGTGAACATATTTAAAAACTTAACTTCAAATATCTAAATGTACCTTTCTGTCCTTCTTTTGGTTTATTGCAGCCTTCCTATGAGTTAAATTATACTGATCAAAAAGTAAAATCGCAAGGCTAGCAAAGGTCTTAGAGTCTTAATTCAGTACGTTATTATTAGGTTTACCTTATAAACCCATCTATAATGTGTTCTATAGATCAACCTGCTCATGAAAAGAAATTGGTTAAATCACATGAAAATCATGTCTTTGTTAACTGATCTCATATATTTAATCAGACACAATGCTGACCCACGTAACTTAAAGAGACCCTTTATAAATGTTGCTTTGTTAGAATAATCTTTAACAAATTTTAGACTCAGCCAAAAATATGTAGGTGGAAGAAATACAGAATATATTACACTGAATGAATTAAATAACATAGTCTTACCTATTACATATACCACATACACACATACACAGAAGCATAAACAAACAGAGGTTACTACTTACTAAGAGGTTAGGCATTCTTTTAGTGCAGAATTTTCTTTCCGGCATTTTACTACCATAAGGATTCCTGACTCCTTGCAACATTTGGTAAAATCTGAAATTAAAAATTTGGGAAACAAATGACTTGTAGTTACATCAATACAATTTCTGACAGCTCTAAAACATAATTTAACATCTATTACCTAGACTCTGCTTGGCGCATTGCACATACTCCACCAAAGACGTGTACATGAATAAAAAACAGAATGAGTTGAGTTTCATTTACCTTGTAGAAATAAAGAATGAGACTTGAAAAGAGGGAGAGAGGACCTCTGAGAAAGAGTGAGGAAGCTTCACGAAGACAGACGGGGGTTTCTAATAGAGAAAAAGTACTCTTCTACAAGAAATGATTAAGAAGGAGAAAAGAGGAGCTGTTTCCAGGACATGCAGTGTCTGCATGTCTAGTCTCTGCATGTCTTCTCCTGGTGGATTCTAGGCATCCCCTTTCTTTAAGACAACCTTGCCACGCTGCCTTAACTTCTGATAACGGCTCCTCCTCCATTCTCAAGTCTACTCTTAGATGCCCCAGGAAAATGCAAATAACTTTCTGTCAAATTTCCATTCTGGTAGTTTGCCTTTTAAGCTAGACTAGCCCCTCTGGTATCCTGCCATCTCAGGACCACCAGCTCTATATAATTGCACACCTCTATATAATTTAATTTTAATTACCATTAAACACTTTTAAAAAATTTCATTCACTTCATTCTATCTTAAGGTAGTGCAAATGAATATCAATGAGTAGAAAGATTATTAAAAGTTACTCCAAACTTTAAAGAAAAGTACTTAAAGAATTCAAGACGTTTTTTCTTTAAAATATCAAGCTCGAAGAGCCTGGTGCCAGAATCCACCCACAGCTGGGCCACCTGCTCATCTGTCTTACATGTGCTCGGGGTCAGACTCGGTTCTCCCTTATCCTTTCCACAGGACAGCGTGGGCTTTGCTCCCTACCAGGTACACCAACTCTGCTGAATTATTCCCGTCCTTCCTCATGACCACTGGCTGCTCTGGTTCCAGGCTTTGCCACTTCCAATCTCGTGTATCTCCTATAAGTAACCATCCATTTCCATGTCAGATCTTAAATTATGACTTATCCCCACAAAGAAGTGGTAGGCAAAAAGATGACTTTTTCTGAATATCCTTTATAACTTTTAACACAAAGTTATCAAGATCGTTGAGCTATGTGTTTACCCTTCTGGTTACTAAGGAATATAATTTATAATTATTTTAAAGCAAGCAGTTAATTTCAGGAGTCTCCGTGAAGACACATAATATGTAACAACAATATTCTTAAACCACAAGGAAACTGAAGATTGAGATTAGTTAAATGCATAAAAACTTACTAGAGGGGCTTTACTGGGACAAGAGCCTTATAAATATCTACCTGCAAACTTTGAAGGGTAAGTGGTAGAATATGAACAAAGGCAGCAGATGCAGGAAATGACTTTAATGCAAATAATTTAATGTCACATTAAATTATGGGTGACATGTAATACTCCACTTCAAATATACACAGGATTAGTTTCCTTTAGCTCCTTGTTCACTAGTCTCAGAAGTCCCATCGATTGCCTTATGATTCCTGAAACTATTCAAGTATCTTCTTCATTCCAACTACAAAAGTTCTCATTCCTTTCTGTGCACATGAGCTGGACACAAAGGCCAAATCAGACCAAGGGAGTATCTTTTGTGTCCTTGACTAAGGACTCCCTACAACTTAAAAAGGCACAGCAGATACACAATCAGCTCATTATCTGAAGAGATCACGGCTATCAACAACTTTCACTCTGGAATGTCATTAGCATTCCAACATGTTAAATTTCCTATTTATAGCACATTAAAATCTACCCTTCTAGAAGAATTATGATCCCAACTAAAAATTAAGACATAGAAATATCCAAAGGGGAAATGTACATCAGACCAACCCAGATGTGACTAAATCTGGCTAAGGGCTTCCTGAAGGACACTGCCATGGACGACAGGGGTGACAAGCCATGGGCTGATTCCCGGCACCCCCTTACCCTGCACCCCGCAAACTCACACACCTACTTCAGACCAGTTCACTCAATGTCAAGAAGAGAAAATTTGCCTATCCTTGTTCACCAAACCCCAGTAATTTTCCGGAACACACACAATGGCTATTATCAAAAGTCCACTTCCAAACTTAAACGCTGTATTTTTACACTGAGAAATTCACAACAGAATGTTTAGGCACTGAGCATTTTAAGATTTCTTTTCCTAAAAACAGAAATGCCCTTAGTAGGGAAGTAATGCAAGGTAGCATTTATGTGTTCTGATCCCAATAAAGGCACAGTCCACAAATTTTCACACTTGTCCAAATCTCTTCAGGCAGGAATAACTGTGACTGGCCTGAAGCCTCAAGCTGTTTGTAGGGGTTTTGTCACTTGTTTAGCAACAAGATTTTAATGAGGATCTTTCTTTCATACCACATTAGCATACACTCATATAATAATGATGTTGCTAATACTGCCAACTGATTTCTAAAACGGTATTCTGAAACAAGTCCAATTTAAATTGCTCCTTTCAATATCATGTTAAATGTTAAAAAGCTTTGCACACCTCTATATAATTTAATTTTAATTACCATTAAACACTTTTAAAAAATTTCATTCACTTCATTCTATCTTAAGGTAGTGCAAATGAATATCAATGAGTAGAAAGATTATTAAAAGTTACTCCAAACTTTAAAGAAAAGTACTTAAAGAATTCAAGACGTTTTTTCTTTAAAATATCAAGAACATGAGAAAGTATCTTTCATAAACCCTCATTTCTCTGCGGAAAAAAAAACACTTAATACTATAAAATAAACTATTGGTAAAAATATTCTTTAGGTATAATAAAATTCGTGTCAAGTACATCTATGAAAAACAGAGATACAGCCTTCTCCTAACTTTAGTCTAAGATAATATGTAAAATAATACGTAAAATAATTTAGTACAAGTAGCCTATAAAATTTCCAGTTCATATATTTAAAAAATCCTTTGGGGGAATTTCTGTATAAAAGCAGTAAGAGAAATTGTTTTTAATTCAATTTATGGAATTTTTGTTATATTTTAATACTTCAATAAACCCCAAGAGTAAAATTCTTACTTAAACCAAGGATAAGTCCTTATGGAGCAACTATGCATGGAAATAGAAATACTAGGGACTTGATCTTCTGCACTTTTCATTTGCTCAGGTTTAAGAAATGTTACTTTGCAAATGCAGTCAGTTATCCAGTTACAACTAAAGCATTCAATGAGAAGTGATACTTTAAAAACACACCAAATTAAAAGAAATAATCCCCAATGTTTCATGTTTTTGACTAGAATCACACCATTTATATCTCCACTAATTTATAATTTTTAAAAAATCCCAAGTTTACACATTTTTACAGAACCCCTTTAGACATAGCACCCATTTTTAATCAGTATTTATAAAGTACCTATTTTTTTCCAGCTGTATTATAAAAAGTAAATATATATTTGGATGCCATATAATATAGAATATTAACCTATAAGCTTATGTGTATTATTTCTGTGACTACATCATCATCTTATTGGTTTCTCCGTTAAATCTAGAACTTCAACTTAATCTAAATGAAAACCATTTTAGAAGGTCTTGCTTATTAATGACATATAGTAGGGAAGATTTTAAAATCACCCTTGGTTCATAATGTATCATTAACTCTACAACTGGAAATTGTAAGCATACAACCTTTTGCTTTTATAGAGCTGGATAAGAATAAAAAGAGAGATACTTTAAACAATGTATTAAAGATCTTTCAACCAGTTCTTGAATTGTAAGAGATTTTTAAAATATAGAACTGAAAATGATACAATTTGGGGAGGGCCTAGGCAGGAGCTGAGTTTTACAAAGATTTTCCTGCAGTTTTAAATTTGTAGTATAAAGGTAAGCCTAAAACTAATTTTTTCTTAGGAAAAGCAATCTTTAAGTGAGGACTTCTGTAGTGAACAGTCTAATGTCAGGTCCCTGAAGACAATGCCTAAGTGTTATTCCACTCTCAGTAATCATCCTCCCTTCTGGAAGCTGCGAAGTAAAAAGTGCCTGAAGACAACAGGAGGTCACCCTTAGTTCTGAGCTCACCAGTTTCAAATGCAGTGATGAAGGCCTGAACCAAGGCAGAGACAATGAAGACAGCAGTTTGTCTTCTTGCGTCTAATAACTACGCAGCTGAAGCAAACCAAGGCCACAAGGTACATTATTCTCTCTATACCTGATGGCATCAACAATATTTCATGAAGTTCATGTGAAAGATTCTGTAAACAGTTCTGACTCTAAATACTTTCATTTATACACTATAATAATGAAATTGTAGATCTCTTTGCAAGCTTTGAGTCAATGATTGCAGTAGTTTGACTTTGGAAAGAATTCAATCCAATTCGACTCCAGACAAAGCCAAGTATTATAAACAATTCCAGACTGGATGAGAAGGTAATTAGAACAAGTTAAGCTTAGTTGAAAAAAGTGTACCAGTGAGTATTTGCCAGCAAACATCCTAACAACAACAAAATTCCATAGACAATTTTCAAGGGATCTATAAAATTAATCATTCAAATAGAAAAACAAAACATGCAGAAATGACATCTTTTACAAGACACATAAATTGAAACAGTGGCTTCTTCATTACATTCACAACCTTTAAAAATGTTTCAGTTTCCAAAGGTAGAATTAAAATACTACTGATGGGAAATTGCCACACCAATGCTGCTACCTTAATGTATAAGAAGAGATTCAACTGGAAACATTTCTTTTTTCTTAAATTACCAAAGTATATAGAATGATAGTAAAATATTCCTGCTTTTACAATAGCAACAACAATAATAATAGCTAACATTTGCGTCTCCTATGCACCAGGCACTGTCCAATGAATTAATTCAGGCTTCAGGAGTATTAACTGATTCAATAAATTAAAATTTTAATTTTTTCATATATTCCTTCAGTACTTATCCATAATCTCATAAAATATCATTCATTCAACAAACATTTTCAAAGTACTTACACTATGTGCCTAGCATTGTGCTAGGTTCCAGGGCTTCC